TCGGTGTCTCGCGCGGCGCAATGAACTAGCACGCGCGGCGCACAGGCGCGCCCCAGGGGGCCCCGCCGCTCCGGGATTCAAAGGAGAAAGGGGGACGGGAAAAAAAACCAGAGGAGGGAGGACAGGGAGGGTGCGCGCGCATGGTACAACAAGTGTCGGGGAGGCCGGGGAAGGGGGGGGAGGGGGGAGACACACACACACGAAGGACGGAACACCGGGGGTGGCTGGAACGCGAAAGGGCAATGGGCAGAGAGAGAGAGAGAGAGAGAGAGAGAGGGAGAGAGAGAGAACGCGGCGCGAGGACACGACACAACGAGGAGCCGGCGGAGGGCCTTTTACTTGACCAGCGCCAGCAGGGCCTGGCGGTAGTGCCCGGAGGTGTCCGAGTGGATGGCGCTGGCCAGGGACCGGTTGTACAGGGCCTGGTAGGCGGCCTTGATCTCGCCCATGTCGATCTCGCAGCGGGACACGACGATGCGGATGAGGGTGCGGTCGTTGGTGCCGATGCCCTTCATGGACTTGTGGAGCTGCTCGGCGAAGAAGGCCGCCCGGCTGCACACCGACCGGACGATGGTCAGCATGGCGCGGCGGATGTCGCCGCTGAACTCGCGCTCAATGGCCCGCTCAATGGTGGACCCCTTGGCCACGGTGGAGTAGTAGGCGAAGGTGGCGTGCAGCTGGGGGAAGGAGCGCTGGCAGAGGATCTTGTTGAACATCGACTCGTCGGTGCCCCAGCGCCCCTCGCCGGCGCGGTACAGCTCCATGGCATCGGAGTAGGCCAGGTGGAAGTCCGGCGAGTGGTTCTCCGAGCGGTTGCCCTGGACCAGGGACACCAGCAGGCGCTTGAAGGAGAAGCTGGTCTCGCTGGCGATGACGCGCTCGAGGTCCTTGTTGTACTCTGTTGAGCAGGCGGGGCGGGGCGGGGCGGGGCGGCGAAACATCCGGGCGTCAGAGCGAGGCGGCAGGGAGGGGGAGGGGGAAAAAAAAAGCCCCGAAGGGGCAAGAGCAGGCAGGCGCGAAGACAGCAGCGAGCGGCCCATGGGCGGACGCACTGCGGTAGTAGGCGTCGCGGATCATGTGGATCTCCGGGTTGGAACGGGTGCACAGGATCTCGATGAGGCAGCTCTCATCGGTGCCGGCCCCGCGCATGGCCTTGTGCAGGCAGGCGGCGTCGTACTCGGCCAGGGAGCGGAAGCGCGCGCGGACGACCTTGCGGAAGTTGCCGGACAGCTCGGACTTCAGGTCCTTCATGAGGTCGCGGCCGAAGATGGTCTTGAAGGCCAGGGTGATCTGCTGGAGCTGCACCGTCGAGTGGGAGCTCATCACATGGATGACGGTCTTCTCATCGGTGCCGATGCCCTTCATGGCCCGGCGCAGGATCTCCGCCTGCTGGTTGGGGTTGAACTGCGGCGAGGGGTAGACGGTGGCCGTGCCGCCGATGACATACGGCACGTAGGACACCAGGGTCGGGAAGCCGCCCACCTGCGAGGTGTGGGTCCCGAGCGGCATGCCCGGCGGGGCCGCGGCAATCGGCGCCGGCGCGTGGTGGATCACCTGCGCCGGGGGCGACGCCGGGTAGGCATTGTACCCGGGCGAGGCGCCGCCGCCCATGGACGGGTACAGGCTAGCGGTGGAGGGGGCCGAGGAGAGGGGGTACTATCGGGGCAAGTGGCCCGGCCAGCCGCAGGGGGGCGAGGGGGGGCGGGGGAGGGTTAGCATGGGCGCCAGCAGCAGCAGCAGCAGCAGCAGCAAGAAGAAGGCACGGGGAGAAGTCGGAACACCGAGGCCAGGAGGAACACGCACAGGGCTCGGGGCCGAGGGGACCGGAGCGAAGCCCATCTGGCTGCCATGGTGCACGCCGGCGCCGAGGCCCGGGGCCGGGGGATAGCCCGGGGCCGGGGCACCGTAGCCGCCCGGGGCCGAGGGGTAGCCGCCGGGAGCCGGGGCACCGTAGCCGCCCGGGG